GCCGGAGCAGACAGGAAGTGTGAGGTCTCTTTAATAAAACAATAAACAATAAATGTGTACCATATTCTTCTTCATGGAAAAACAAGACGTCCCCTGAAAATAAGACCTAGCGCATCTTTGGGAACAAAAATTAATATGACGCTGTCTTATTTTCAGGGAAACAGGGTACTTGTTAAATTACGCCAGACCCTGCCCAATATCTTCAATGGAATTATGTGTGTACAGCTCTGATATATCTTATTTGGCATACCTTGTGTATTCCTAAAAGTCACCTTATCGCCCCTCCAATGTATGAACGGTTTTTCCCAAGTTAATCCACACCATGTGGCTTTGCCATCAACCATGGATATCAAATGAGGGCAAGAGCTGTCAGGAAACATGATGTAGTCTTTTCTATGATATTCTTAGACTCTCAGACTGTCAGATATAGGGCTACAATTTGACACATGTGGTACTGACTGGAGCAAACTACATGGCCTCTGCATAGATGAGAGCTAACCAAAGACTGAAACCAACCCCGAAACCACTTACAGAAATGTTCTATCCTGATTTGATGAAGACAAGAGCTTGATCTTCCATATTTTAATCACTGTCATGGATTGGTAGGAATTAAGCTGTGTGGGCGAACCAGCATCACGAATTCTCAGCTACCTCATTGAAAAGTTAGGAGTGCAGAAATCCTGATGATCAGACTATTTGGACACACAGAGCTTCATGAAACCGACCTCATACCTTCTTGAAGGAGAATAGAACCAAGAATCTGATTAGATGTACTTCTCACTAACATTTATTGTACGCATTCTATGTGCCAGGCACTATTTTCACTGTTAGGTCTATTCTTTCATTCAATCCTCACAACGACCACTTATCTGAACAACCCCCAAAATTGATGCAAAGAACTTCTAATATTGGTCTGTGTGTGTGTGTAATCTTCTATAAAGTGTGTGTGTGTGTAATCTTCTATAAAGTGTGTGCGTGTGTGCGTGCGCGTGTGTGTAATCTTCTATAAAGTGTGCGTGTGTGTGTGTGTGTGTGTGTGTGTGTGTGTAATCTTCTATAAAGTGAATCATCTACTCCAATATAATCTTTACTTTTAAATCTTGTTTTCCTTCTCTTTGGAAATATACCTGTAGAAGCTTACATTTTGGATATGAGGGCCCACGTCTCTTCAGATGAAAATTGTGTTCCAGGGGAGAAAGAAAGCAATGTACACACAGGCAATCGGACAAAGTTTCCTTAAGACCCTATGCTATACACCAAATGAGGAGATTTCATACCTAACACTGGATAAAAGGCTCCCATTAATGCACAGTTCCCAATATTTGGCGAATTGTTCACTGGGCTCTCAATTCTGAATTGGAATCTTACTGAAGACCACTGATCTTTCTTCCTGATCGTCTTTATTGGGAGCACAGCACACTGAAATGGATCTGGGATCACATTATGGTGAACTTTTTCACCAGTTTTCATTCCAGTTGCCTGGTATGGCTTCAGAAACTGTTCAGAGAGACATAAGAAGCACTCCACGGTTTGCGATAGCCCTTTTCCCAGTGGAAAAACACTCAGGAAGAGAATGGGAATCCCAAACACATTATTTGTAGTAGTCATTCTCTCTCTCTCCTTGTTTCATAATTTTCTAACGACCAATTCGCATGAATATAGAAATATACAAACTAAACCCAAACATCTGAGGGGAAAATCAGTTGAAATCAAGTAAATGAAGTAAAAATCCTGGATTGTGCGCGTTGTCTAAAGGAACAAAGAGTAGCAAACACTGCGAGCAGAAACACAGATTTGAAGAACTAAGCGAGAATTTTATCAGATCAAAAGTAACATTTCGATATCTCAGCAGAAGTAAGACTAAAGAATTTTTAGCATTTCAAGGCCTTTTGGCAACTCCTCTCTTATGAAAAAAAAGAGAATGTAAGGAATGAAACATTGCTATATTGGCATTTTAGGTAGCTTCCTTATCAAAAGATCTGGTGGGAGAGCAGGTGAGCAGCCCTGGTTCAAATGAGCTTGCTCACCCTCCTTTGAAAATGTCTTATCTACATTTATCCAAAGAACGGGTTGTTCGAAACGTACTTGAAAAAAAAAAGGCAGGGACTTCCTTCCCCTCACCTCGCCCCCCCGCCGCCCCCCGCCCCCCCAGCGTGCTGCTCATCCCCAGCTTTAGCAGAATTAGCCTCGCGAATAGGGAATAGGTGCATGCTCCAGGGAGCACAAGTCTAGGTCGTTTTCTCCAGTTGACAGGCCCTGGCTATGGGCTGGAGGGAAAAGCCACTCCATCTTTCTCTCTGGGATATTAAACTTTCTCGCGAAGGGTCCAGGACTTTGCCTTTGATCCTAATTCCCTTGAAATCCTCCAGAGGGGCCAAGGGATCCTTGTCCTTCTCAGGTGGACTGGATAGGGCACCCCCCCTGCTCCCCCC